AGAGTTTTGTGCGCTTAGCAAATGTTGAACAAAAAATTACTGTTTTGACGCAACTGCTCTCGGCAGTCACGGAAAATCAATTTTCCTGACGTTTTGCAAACCCAAGTGGCTTGCATCTTCAGAGGTGGTTTGCTGCCGCAACACGACGTCCTAAAATCTCAAAAAAATCTCCGGTTTTTATACAAATAGTGAACGATGAACTCTTGTGATCATTTTACCAGTTGCATGGAAGTCCCTTGATGAGAATTCGGAAATTCAATTTCGGGTTAGCGGCGCAGCGACTGCATTAATCAGCCTCAAAATGTGCATTCAAAACTGGGATAAAAAGAGGAAAATGCCGATGAAAACGTTTCAGCTACACAAGCTACATCATTTCCGCTAACGATGCGAAGGAGTATTGAAAGCGAATGTCGTGTAAATAACGCGGTTAGCTCGTAATTTGGCCCTTAATAGTCCAGACACTAATCAACTGCCTGTAATGGACTTTTGCACTGTTTCTGCAAAACTCCCTGATGCCAAATGGCACCTGAATAATAACTGAAAGTTTACAGTTTCGGCTCTAACAAAATTGATTGTCCATCAAGCAAACTGCGAGGTTTAGAAAGCCACAAGAGCTCGTCAAACAGCTCATTGTGTTGACAAAACCTATTTAATTAAACTGACCCATCTTTCAAGCTAATTCATCAAACAACTGTAGGCGATAACTCATGATAAAGCAGCTTTATGGGATATTTTCAGACAACAAGAATATGCCCGATGTAATTACTGAGGGCGACAGTTTTGACGAGGCTTCTGTGCGCTTTTGTCCATAGCTGGACAGTAAACTCAGCGCTAGAACAAGCCTGGCATAGCATCCGAATACAATGCACTGTGTATCTGACCTAAATTGCAAAAACACTGTTTATATTTCGCATATTATGTGTGGCATAGCATGAGGGTAGAATGCATGTAATGATGGCCGTTTGCGCTTGATGCTATGGAAATCTGCTGGTTTTGCTAATGTTAATTAAAATGGGTCAGTTTTTGTCATCTTTTTAATCCTGTTTACTTTGTATGTTGAATCGTGATCATTTTTTTTAATTGCACGCAATTCCTGCGACTATCTGCTAAGCTCTCGAATCGACTACAAAAGTAAATTAGTGATTTTCATCGGATTACCTGCTAAGTACTTTTTATTTAGTGATAAGAACCAAGGACTTGTGAAAAGTTGCTTAAATCGCTATGGGTTTTGAAGTTTAAGCTGGTCCAGAACTGAGCGTGTTCACGCATCTACACGCCGCCGAATAAAAATTCGCAACCTCTAATCTAAAGCACGTAGAAACTTGACATGTTTCTAATCTGTAGAAGACACTTGAGTCTAATAAACTTGAAAATCTCGTTGAAATCGCACGGGATGCTGATTTTTACGCTCGTTGTAAACCGCAACGGCAGGGTCTTCAATAAAAATTTCCAACTTCAAATCTA